ATATATATATATATAGTACAATAGAGGCTACTGTGGTGTTTCAGTGGAGTGCCCAGTGACAACAATATGATGATCTTGGTGAAAGATGTCTGCCTGGTCCCACAGGTTCAGATTCATTTCATTTTATTTTGTATAGCTCAAAATTAATAAAACCAAATGCCTCAGAGGGACAATCTGTACACAAACATCCTCTGTCCCAGGACCCTCGCATCTGTCCATAATTATTCTCAACAAATATGTTTTACAGTTTGTGCATACGCATCTTATTTTGTAATACAACCTATGTTTGCTAAATACCTGGCTTTGTTTTTTTCTTCTCCACACTGAATTCTTCAAGATGAAATGATGTCAGCTCAAATACACTTTGATCCCAACCTAAACATTTCTATTCTTTCTCACAGTGACCTAAAGCGCAGAGTCAGTATTCTCATTGACGGTTCCCTCATCATTGCCCAAGTCAAGCCGGAGGATGATGGCAAATACACCTGTGCTCCCAGCAACAGCCTGGGCCAACCACCGACTGCCTCTGCCTACCTAACAGTGCAATGTGAGTGTCTTTGTGCTGATCTCTGGAGTGTGTCCTGATTCATTGCAAGGGTCCCTCCGTCTTCTCTTTGTCCTTTCTGTGTATTTGGGTCAAAGCCACGGCCACCTCAACTCTGTACTATTACAATCCAAGGGCTAATCATGCTGGAGGTTCACTGGAAAGGAACATGGCAGAGCATGTCCACTGCAAGAACATGGAGACCTGGCTTCAAATCATCAACATTGAATGTAAAAAAACAAATAGGCAACAATCTAAACACATCTTTAGATGTTATTTATTAAGCGGTTGACACACGTTTGATCACATTTGATTGACACTGACCAAACCAACTGTCATCGGATTATTCTTATTAAAATGTTGCTAAATGCCGATTGGTGAGAGGAAGATTGTGACATCACTAGGGCTGCCACGTATTTTCTATTGATTCTTCTATCAACTATTTTACAGAATTTGAAACGATTAATTTTCCCATGAAAAAATCGAATTGACCATTTCATTGAAGTTCATTTTATTTTGACAAACTGTAGGCTACATCATAAATTCTTAAACAAAACTATTTTATTTAGGGAATTGATTTTTCAGCACTGACGTCAACTATTGACGACGAGCACGAGACATCACCTTATTTCCAACTGAGCCCCGGCCCACTTCGAACAAGCAAGAAAAGGACGGAGAGAAAGCCAGATATAGATTTGTGTGATGTGAAACAAGCTAAAGGATTCCAACTACAAGTTTGTGGCTTCATAAAGCATTCCGTCACTCTTAAAGCTGGTTAGGGAAATACTACATCAGGGACTTTAAGCAAATACACTGTGGAAAAGAAAGTGACTGAGGATTTCACATAGTGCTTCATCAGACTCATAAACACTCAGTAAACAGGCAGTAAGTCAATAGTCATGAATACACAGCACACAGAGAACACAGTCAAACAGAAAACATAGAAATGTGTATTCAGTAGAACCCTATGGGCGGACCGTTTACAATCACTCAATTAATGTTATGTTCTATTCTCAACTATTTTATCAATACAAACAATAATATTTGTATACTTATTTGAAATGCATGTAGATTTAGAAGTGGCTACAATGAACATAAAATGCAGCTCTGCTCAATATTTTTAGGATAATACTTTTATTGACAGGTCAATATATCTGTTATTGTCAAAACGTATTTTGTGTTGTTGATACACTTTGAAGCTGTGTCGTCATACGTCTGTCCGTCAGCAGCTGAAAGGACGGCGGCAGGCCAAACTGACTTCACCAGGCTGACTGATAGCAGACATTTTCTGGATTAAAATAGCTTTCAAGTGGGCACCACGAGGAGTATACTGCTTTGTTTTATTTCATGGCTAATAAACTTCACCCCGCCCCTTACAGCGGAGAATAAATGTATGCCTACAGTGGAACAGATTTGTGTGATTTAAACAACTTCCTGTGGAGATGATGCTCCAATATGCACTCCGGGGGGGGGAGAACACAGGGTTCCTTTGATTCCCATACCTCTGATTCCTCAGAGTGAGTGTGGATTGCTACATTTGATAATATTGGACATTAAAAGAAAAAAACTAAACCAGTTTTGCTCATTACTAGAGATGGCAAATTTTTGCAAGACAAAAAACTTTGTTGAATCGTAATGTAAGGGACACGTTGGAAATATTTACCCCTAAAACACAAATCTTTATAAATTGTTATCGCGGCGATGGAAGCTGTAAATGGGGCGCTTGTGCACAATGCAACAACACAACTGGACGAACTTGGTTCAGCCGCCCAGGTACAGGTAAACGAATACACACTGGATTCTATTTGTTCTCCATTAACAGCATTTCTATGAGAACAAGTAGAAGTGTAGTTCTTGGATGGATGTGTTGAGTTCAAACGTAGATGGACTTTTACATGAGTTTGCTTTATTTATAAATATTAACGGTGCTAGTTTTGAAATCCAGAGCATTAATCAAGTAACTGGGTTTATATGTAAAGATATAGTGGAGTGATGTTTAACTAAGCAGAGAATGAAGTCACGCTTTTTTGACATAACTGCCCCGGGCCAGTGTGCATGTCCTACCTAATCACCACCATTCTGCTCTGCGCTCATACGGCGTCTACCGCTGATAACGCCATCCCGTCAGATAGTACACCGTTAGCTGCTAACCGCCGGTTCAGTTCAGAGCCGTGAGGAGGCAATCCCTAAATTGTAGATATGCTCTGAATTTTGGAATTGCACCTTTAAGTGACGAGGAAGGTTTAAATGTGCTATCTTTTGAAAAAATAATCTGCGTAATTATTTAGAATAGATAGACGTGTATATTCAACCTTTTTGTCCCATTGTGGGTGACTGACTGTGCACCTCTGTGTCTGTCCACGGCTTATCTCGTATTCTGCTACAGCAAACTGCATCATATTTTGGAACATTTTTTATTGTTTGCTATTGACTGCCAGCTGACTCCTCGCTACTCTTAATCGCTCTCTGTGTGGATTGGCATTGAGACTTCTCTTGATTATTATTATAGGTATAATTGTTCCCAGGGCATCGTTAGCACGACGTCGTGCAGCCTGCCTCCCATGCCTGGCCACTGGACTCGTTTAGAAAACCTGGCATCAAACATAAAAAAGTTAGACTTCACAATAAGTGTAGACAGGTCCAATAATAACTGTGTTGCAGCATCACAAGGCTCCTGTTGAAGAAAGTAGGATACACGAAGCATTTAAGACTTCTTCATCTGTTGTTTTACACTTTCTACATCCATCATGACTATTTCCACAAAATAGCTTGAAAGTTTGTCAGTAACTGGCCCAACAGTAATGTAGTTTACTAGGTGTTCCTGATGGTATTTTAGACTTAGTCTTTTATGAATAATGAAACATGTTGATGACTCTCTAACCTGACCCTGCCAGACGGTTTGTTACACAGAACCATCTGAGAAGTCGCCATTAGAAACTGCCGGGAACTTTCAAAAAATACGTGGCAGGTGATTGGATGAACGATCTGTCAATCAAACTCTTATCGGAGCCAGTCGTGAGAAGAGCAAGATTATCTTTCCGATGAAGAAAAGCCTGCAGTGTTGTTCTTTACTCTTCTTTCAATGAAGAAATACTCTCCAGCTCTGAATCTGTCGCAACATCGACGCTAACCTCTCCGTCCGTGCTCCAGCCCACCGGACACAAACACATTACTTAAAGCTGGATCTTCGTGTGATATATGATCAAGCGATTCTCGCGTGATCTCGCGACATCACAAGAACTGGTGTCAACTAATTTTGCATCCGATTTCAAAGCTTTTAATACAGACACAAGGCTCCCATTGGGATGCGGGGATGAGCCTGCGTCTCTCCTTCACCAGCAGCACTCAGCTCGTACATGTAGAGCCTCACTTCTAAAACTTCTTCTTCCTCTATATCATCGGCAGGGCGTTTTCCATGTTGAGCTGGAAGCTACTGTACATTTAAAATATTCAGATTCAGCAATATTGGCTACTGTAACGATGCAGAATCAAATAGCGCTCTGCTAGTGGTGTCATGGAAACTTTAGAGTTTCAGAATATAGCTCAAGAGTATGATGTTTGATGACCAGTTTTAGGCAAAGGCTTGTCCATAATTGTAAGTTTCTGGCCAGCAGTAGGAGTGTCAAATGACCAATTCTGCTGTAAGGCTGCATGTCCAAAAAAAAAAGCGTCCTCTGCCCTGTGGAATGGATTTGGACACTCCACCAGTCTCCAGGCGAACTCTGCTCCACCTCTCAGCCAATCCCGTCCAAACACCCATTTGCTCTCTCAAATCAACTCTTCTATTTTTTCCTGCTTGCGTCCTGCCTCTCCCTCCTACTCTCTCTCCTCTGCCTCCCCGTCCTTACTCTCTTCATGTCTCATTTATACTCATTTATGCATATGTATTCACATGCACACCGACACATCTCTACCCCACCCCACCCTGTGTCTTCATCATGGGTTGCCGCCTCCTTGTTCCCTCCTCCTGTACAACACCCTCTCAGTCTATCCGTCACTGGGAGCTCCTGGATTGCGGTGAATCTGTCACTTTGGAAAAGCATCTGCGGCCAGGCGGAGGCAGGACGAGTGTTGAGATTGTTTGGCCTCGTCGACCGGTGACCGGCCAGCAGCAGTAGTCAAGGCAACAGACATTTTGCATTCCATCGCTCTCCTGCCTTCTTTGATGGCTGTACATTAGATCATGACAAGTGTGTGTGAGGGTGTGTGTGAGTGTGACGAACAGAGGCGGGCAACACCAGTAGTGAGAGGGAGGGGGAAGTGAGGGGGGATTACATCATTGCTGTAAGACCAGGGACTTTTCTCCGTCAGCCTGCAGACTGCGCTCTCCGTCCCATTCTCTCCTCTTACTCTCATCTTTTTTCCTTTTGTTCTCTCTTTATCCCTTCCTCTCAATCCTCAACATTCGCTCTTCCCCCATTTGTTTTATGCCCCCCCCACCACTCCTGTTTAAATCTTTCTCTCCCACAGTCTCCATCTTTCTCGCCAGTGAATAACTTCCCCCAAAGCATCCTGCAGTAGGGAAACCGGCGTGTCGTGAGCGATAGCGCCGTCTGAGGGCTATATTTAGAAACTTGGCTGATATTCTTGTCTGTGGTGCCGGTGGCGGTGCTCCTCTGGGCATCTTTGTGGCCGAGCGCTGGCGTGGGGGCCGGCGGTGGTTAGGACTTCAGAGGACAGCAGCTGTAGAGCAAAGTTGTTCTGGCAACAGTGCGGTCAATCGATCCGTCGCCGTGTTTCAATCCCTCCATCTCATCATGTCACACAGTCACTCGCTCACTCCCTCATCTACTCTCCTTTTTATAATGCAGGATGAATGCCTTTTTTTCCGCCGGCTTCATCGCGTTCACAGTCACGCCGCCTCATCCTCCTCTCTCCTCCGCCGGCTCCTCTCCACCTTACGTCATCCAGTCACATTTCTCTCTCTCTCTCTCTCTCACCTGTCCTCTTTCCCACGCTGGTGCTCAGCCTTGCTCGTCCACTCCTCTATCGCTCCGCCGATAGCGCTCACCACTTCTCCTCCTCCTCCTCCTCCTCCTCCTCTCACTCACACCATTTCTCCTCCTTATCACCCACTGCCTACTTTGAAGCTCTCCTCCTTGACCTCATTTGGGAACCACGCTGTTCTCTCCCCTCTTCAGAATCTAGGATTTAGAAAGGAGAAGCCCCCCCCCTCCCCCTTTCCTCCTCTTAGCCCCTTTCCTTCAGCCAGATGGTCTCCCTTTTTTTTTTCTTGCGTGTGCCCGTCTTCGCCCAAAGGGTATTTAGCTCGACCATATAGAATCCCAATTATTTCAGACTTAAAGTACAGAGGGGGAGACATGAAAGGATGGCCACTAATGTCGAGCAGATAAAGTAATAAAACTCAAACGCTTAAGCGCTGATACGATGGGACTGATTGAGGGGAGGCTGGTCAGGTGAGATGTAATGTGATTTTTATTAAACTGTCTATAACTGAAACTTTAGAGAATTTAAGTTTAAGTTTCTACAGTATCTTATGCCATTGTCATTTGGTTACTTAAAGGCAAGGTTGGTGATCTTCTTCAAAAGCATTTCAGATATCTTTGTTGAAATTCTCCTCACATCCTGAGAGCAATGAATGAATCAAATGCTTTGACAAAAAAAGGAGAAAAAAAATCTGGTATCTGTTTCTGTCCCAGGACTGTAATAACTTAGTCGATTTATTTTATAATAATATAATATAATAACTGGACGGGCCACCTGTCTACCTGATCGCATTCTGCCCATGTACTCATTTCTCAGGATTACCAACTTTAAAATTAAGATATTTTTTTTTACATTCTCAATTTTAACAGTTTTTTTTTAGGTCTACCACTTGTTTGCAGACTGTAATGTATGAACAATAATAATTCAGATGATGACTCTATTTCTATTGAATCCTACTAACTGTGCAATTTGTATTTGTTATACCAATGACCCATACAATAACCATCTGCAGTTAAATACCAGCGTACTGGAGATAAAATGAAAGTATAATTAAAAATGGGGTCTAGCTGAGTGCATGTTTTATAATTTTTCTTATTTCTGAAATAATTTTTTAAGGTTTAATTTGATTTGACTGTTTTACATGCAGTCTGGGAATATAAAAAGTTGCTGTTTAATCTTGTGGATGAGGAACAGATACCTGCTGCTTTCAGAAGGCTGCAAAGAGAATCACCTGAGTGAAGGCCGTCAGAATAGGCTACTAACTGTTGTGGATTCACTCATTCATTTCCATTCCATCTGGCTGCCATTAATACCATATTCTTAATACAACTTTTTTCCTGTATCACTAAAAACTTACTAAACTTACATGTCTTATTAAACAACTTTTTCCCTGTTTTGTCCAGGAAGTAGAGGGATGGGGGTAGAAGTCAGTGTAGCACACATACATGAGAGCAGGTTGTAGTGGGATTTGATCCTGTAAAATGTATTCTATGTGTCATCATGTACACAAAGCTGTGTGTGTAATGGGTGTTCAATGTTTAACAAAATATTCTCTGTAAACACGTACAAATGTTGCTCTCAGCCCAGCTGTGCTCCATATTAACATTGATTTCCCAATCTTCTCTACGTAGCTCTTACAATCAGCAGCACCGGGTTTCCCTCTTTTCAAAAGAGGTGTTTTTTTTCTCTTGTTTTTCACCAGATCCTGCCCGTGTTGTAAACATGCCATCCGTCATCTACGTGGCCATCAGTCTGCCCGGCTTCATCCGCTGTCCCGTAGATGCCAATCCCCCCGTAACTTTGGTTAAGTGGAAGAAAGATGGCCTCCCTCTCCGAATCGATAGGGTGAGCCGGTGCAGCATGGGGTTCCGCTCACTTTACCCCGCCTCAAACAAGTGCGGCATTTCTTCAGTGGAAGCTCCAAGGGATTCCATTTTTCACTTCAAACCCTTTTGGTTTCAGTGTGCTCCTCAGTCTCTTATTTGACTTATCATCGGCCTTTAACAAAACATGACCCTTCCTTACACATGGTCCATGACTTCTGCATCCACAGTACCCTGGTTGGAGCCAAATGGACGATGGGAGCATCCGTGTGGCAGAGGTGACGGAGGACTCTCTCGGCACCTATACCTGCATGCCTTACAACGCCCTGGGTTCCATGGGATGGTCCCCTCCCGCTCCCCTGGTGCTAAAGGTACGCCCACAGTCCCATAGCCAGTGCATTTAAATGCATCCAGGAGGCATCACAACTCACCCGTTTTTTACTCACCTGTTTTGGCTGCTCCCCCCGAGTAGGACCCTCCCAAATTCTCAGTGGTTCCTGGAGGGGAGTACAGGCAGGAGGCTGGGAGAGAATTGGTCATCCCCTGTGAGGCGGAGGGAGACCCCTTTCCCAACATCACATGGAGGAAGGTAAGACACCCTGCGCACTCTACACCGCACCTGCCTACATGTAAACAAGACTTGTAAACAAGGGTTCTCCATTGAGAAGTCTTCCCGTCTGAAACCTGTGCCTGTAGTAAATTGCCTGATTTTAATTACTCAAACTACTGTATGTCATTGTAGCATTTTTAATCACATTTTAATGACGTCTATAAAATATGCAATCAAGCGAAATTATTAGATTCTCTCAGCTTGATTATGAGGCATGTTTAATCTCGCTCACTGACTACAGTATGATTAGCTATTGTTTTTACCTCCCACTTGTGAAATCCACCATTCTGTGTAATTTGATACTTAAGTTAGATATTGAAATCAATGTTGTTGTATATGTAAAATTGCAGATAGATATCTCAAACTATCCCTGCTGTATGTGCATGTAGAAGTGTGTGTTCTCTCTCCGTCCCTCTCTTTCTCCCCTTGGCTGACTCTGTGTTTCTTTGGCTGGGTCGGACTGCAGGTAGGGAAGCCCAGCAAAAGCAAGCACAATGTTCTGCCCCGAGGCAGCCTACAGTTCAAGTCACTCACAAAGGAGGACCACGGGGAGTGGGAGTGTGTCGCCACCAACGTTGCCACAAGCATCACTGCCAGCACGCACGTCCAAGTCATAGGTACCCCGACATGGACACAAATTCACACAAACATACGTTTACGGGTAGAAACCTACATATATTTCTTCAGAACCTATATAGTATACTTAGCTTGCATACGAAGGCAAACATGTTTCATTTACAAGAGCCAAGGCTTTTAGGATGAAGATTAACCAATATGTTTGGGGAACATAACGCTCTGTTGACAGGCCTGCTGTGAGTAGTTACGGTCGCTAAGCTATGATTGGACAATTGCTATTTTGGGAGAGGTGTTTTGCGAACATTTGATACAGTTCACATCAGCACACAAGTGAGTTGGCTTTGAGGGTCCCTCTTGGCTCATGCTGACCGTCCTCTTGAGAGATCTATTGAGTTGAATCTGGAAGACTCATCCTGTCAACTCCTTGACTCTTCCTCCTCTGAAGAGCCCACTCAAGAGTGCTCTGACACAGGAGGCGGGGTTATAGAGAAAGTATTAGAACAAGGCTAAAGTTTAATTTCTACACCCGTAGCCCTTGTTTCTGAATCGCCTGCTATGAGTGGTGATGGTAAAATAATATCACTTTGCACGGGACATGGCTTGTGGCCTGAATATGTCATTAGAGGTGTTGTGGGGGTTTTTCCCCGTTGATGATGCTCAGCTTCTTTGACTTTATGACTTGTGGTAAAACTCAATACCTAACGGCTAGCTCAGTAACTGTTCTCTATCTGACTCGTGGTGAGACACCACAGGATCTCACTATGAGGAACTCAGTAACGAACACCCACAGAACACAAGAGAGATTGGATTTTCTTCAGTTCACACAGATTTATTTGCATCACAAAGTATACAAGTAAACCGAGCTGTCCGGAGTCAACTAATCGCACAATAGAAATGTACATTACTTTATACTTTATACTTTATCCTGCCTCCCCAGTCTTGGTCTCCCCCCTCCTTTCTCCCACGATTCTGCTCTGACCGTTTACCCAGACAAGTTTCACTGCACACCTTAGACAAGTCCAAACAGATGACATTGGATTAATACACTTGAGCAGATACGGCTATCTTTCCCTCAGGACTTCTCTTGACGTCACAGCTGGTTGCCGGCCCTAAGGCCCAAGCTCGTCTTCCTCCCGTGTAAACCTAAAAGTACTACGAGCCCCAAGACTGATGGGCCTACCAACCCACTTGGCGTTCATTTATAGCTAAGCTAATGGACTCCTGGCTCCAGCTTCATATTTAATCCACTAATATATGCGTTCTACTAATATTCTCATTTTACTCTTAAAAAGAAAGTGAATAAGCACATTTCCCCAACGAATCCTTTAACAGGTGTCTGTATGCTCTGCTGGGGGGCTTTAACTGTCACAATGAACGGTGTGATAATCCTAGCAGGTACTACACATACACTGGTGCAGCCGCAGTGGTTGCATGCAAAGCATTCAGGTCTGCGGGTGAAGGTGAGGAGGAGTTTATTGATTGTGTTCACCAGAAGCTGCTCCGAGGTGGATACTTTATGTCTCCTTGACTAAAGCTGTTTGGAACAGACTTATTATTTAGTTTCATTTAACCTTTTGTTTTCCGATTGAGTCCTGGCCAAGCAACAAAGTTTTGCATAAAAGAACATATAACAGATTTAAAAACTAAAAACTAAAAACAACATAAGAAATTCAACACAAAAGAAACAAGTAACAGACAAACAGCAAATTGCATCAACCAATGAATTAGCAGTGTTGTTCAGATGCTTGTCTGTGTAGATAGCATTGATACTATGTAGTTGAATGCATCATCCTCTCAACCACAAGACACACTGCACACTCTCTGGGAGTAAAATGATTTTGCCCCCAAATTTGTTTTGAAATGCTGGATTCCTAAAATATTTGAATGTGTGTGGCAGTCATTGACCTTGCCTGTCCTGTTGTCCATCTCTGTCCCTTGCTGACCATTAATGTGCTGTGTGGACGAGAGCCAGTCAAATCAGAGCAAAACAATGAGTGTATTGAACTGGCTCCTGATTGGTTTCCTGTTGCTTTGGCTCCAGTACAGGACCTAAACAATGGGATCGGAAATTAGCAAAAATGCATATCGGGAATTCTTCCTGGAGAAATCAGTCAAAGCACCGTTACTCACATTATCTACGTTTGACATGTCACAAGTACAAAAAAAGTCATTTTGGACTCAAGATTACATTATTCATGCGAAACCAAAAATGTTTCTTTCTCACAGTTGGATGTTACATTGGCTGGCTGCTTGAAAACACATTACCTGGTCCAGCTCACAGTGAACCATTTGACATTCCAAATGAATGTAGTGTCTAACAGCGAGGCTACTCAGTGACTAATGTGGCCTTTTAACAACACCTCTCTCGCCGCTCTCTCCCTCCCTGCAGGCACAAGCCCCCACGCCCCCACCAGCATCCACGTGGCGGCGCCCTCTACCTGGGCCAATGTGTCCTGGGAGGTGGGCTACGACGGAGGCTTCCAGCAGACATTCTCAGTCTGGTATGGCCATGTGTGAGTCATCCCAGCATGCTTTGCTTCCTGCTTTTTCTTCTTCCGGTACTTCCTCTGTTGTTTCTGAAAACGTCTTTTTCCAGGGTTGTGTTCAGAACAGTTGTGAGAACGTAGAGATGGAAATACACGGGGGATCCAGATGTGTGAGTGAGTCTTTCAGCTCTGATCTTGAAATTTGTTGGTTGCAACTAAACTGAACATGACCCAAAATTCTCTGTGCTGCTGCTGCTGCTGCTGCCGCTGCTGCTGCTTCTCTGCTGCTTGACTGGGGGAAAGGGCCTGGGTTTAAATGTTGCATTTACTTATTGACTTGAGATTTCAGCAATGACAGTAAGTAACAGTGCTTGAGTAAATGTACTTACATTCCACCACTGCAAAAGAAAGGAGAATGGACACAAACCTGATGTCGTTCTAATCAATAAAACAAAGTAAGTCTAGAATGCTCATTTAAAGGTCCATGGGATTTTTCATTGCTGCCGACTTGTATGCATTTTCAGTGGGATGCGCAGGTTGATTTTATACTAACAAACTCCTCGACAAGAGCGTTGACGAATGCGGTAATTGGTATGAAGTTAATGTATATTTATTATATGTAATTGTGATAGCAGTAACTGCTGCCAGTAATATGTGCTGCAGACTTTGTAAAAATGGTTAGTTGGTTCTGGAACTCAGGAGTTAGATGCATTCTCAGTGTCTTCTCTGTCACTATCTGCTAATGCTATATCTCTGCTAGAGAGATATAGCATTGACTAAACAGCTCAGCCCTCTGAAGTGTTCGTGCAAGTCTCCTCCTTAAGCTTCCCAAACACGATGCAGGACACCAACATGCAGGGAATAGTGTCCTTTTTTAAATTGGGATGTCCTGAACCACAGCATCAACTATAAAAAACCCAACTCCCGTCATGCTTTATTAAAACAGCGAGGGAACCGCAGAGCAGCACAAATATAGAGAAAAGCAGACAGCAGCTTTAATTAATAATATTCAGACTGACAGCAAACATCAGTGAGTGATGCGAGTGGAGCAGCTTTGGGCTGCATCCATCTCAGTGACATTTCTCAGGTGGTTCTTCCCCCTGAAACCCTGCCATCGGTTAAAGAAGTGCATTTTAACTTCAGCATCATGTTCATGCTAGGGATGATGAGTAGTTTTCCACATCCTGTTTTAAAATCTTCCAGCCAAATAAAGTATCAAGGAGGGAACAAAACTTTACCAGATACGTCATATTAAGGAACTCTGGGGCAGAAAAATCCTCCCCTTTTATTGATGCTTTGAAGGGGACATCTCATGCTCATTTTCAGGTTCATCACAGTGCTGTGATATTTCTGCTAGAACATTATTACATTCTTTAATCTTCAAAAAACACAACATTTGGCTCATAGTGTCTGTCTGAATATACCTGAATTCAATCTGACTGAAACGCTCCGTTTTAGCGTCTGTCTCTTTTAGAGAGTTGTCTTATTTCACACACGTGCACAAGACCTGAAAAAGTGTGTTTTTTTATGATATGTCCCTTTTAATTCATATATTGAACTGTGTGCACTTCACAGTGCTACATTAGCTATGTTGGTGAAAACACTATCTCACTAGGTGATACATACAGTATAAAGGAAGTGCTTTACTATAGCACTAGGTGTTTAGAGTATGAGTGTTGCATGTGTAAGTTTAATGCTTTATCTGGTGATGAGGTGCAGCTGAATGTATGGCATGGGCAAACCCGCAAAGCTGAGCGCAGCATGGGCTTTATTACCATCAAGTGGAAGTCACGTTGTGAATGAAGTGAACAAAAATATATGATGTTGGATCAATGATGGAACTAGAACTGTTGCAGAAATGACGTCACATTATGTTACATCGTGACGAGCAAAACTGTGTGATGATAATGGTGCTGAGAAAAGTGATCTCTCAAAATGTCTCCGCTCACCTCCTCTCATCCTGACTCCTGTCCAGGCTGAAGAGGGAGCGTTTAGGTCCACACGACTGGCTTTCCATACCCGTGCCTGGAGGCCACGACTGGATGGTGGTGCCCGGCTTGGAGCCAGAGACAACATACCAATTCAGCATCTTAGCCCAAAACAAGCTTGGCACAGGCCCTTTCAGCGAGGTTGTCACTGTGAACACACCAGGTGAGTGTACTCACTGCTGCTCCACTGTGACAAAAGGGATCCTATAATGAAATGGCTTTGGCAAGTTAGGCACGTCGAATGAGCAGAAAGTCTACTTACTTACTTGAGACTAAACATTTCTTATCTTTTTGTGAAAAATTAAAATTTCCTAGATCACCAAGGATCGTAAAGATCTATTCTCATTTGTATTCTAACATTTTCAAATGAAGAATTTGTCTCTAAAGAAGTAGGAACAATGTTGAAAGAACTATGGAAAGTGCTCTGGTTAATGTATTAATAGAAAAGTAAGCCAGCTCAAGAGACATTCCTGGATATCATTCCAGAAAAGGTTAGCGCTCCAGTGTGTAGAGCAACGGTTTGAGAGAGTTCTCTGCTGTAAATGAGGTCTGACAAATAAATGTTTCACGCCTCCGCTCGGGGAAATCCAAACAACACCCTCTCCGTGTGAGTGCTGGTCGTGTTTCACGTCTCAGCTGGAGAGGATCGTGCTGATGTTTTATGAGCTTCCATTCAGTCATAAACAATAATAGTGATAATTCATTAATGAACATATTATTTTCTGGCCCTAATGAAAAGTAATATTGTTAGGCTAAATTATTAAAAAAGTATAAAGATGCAATTTTTCTGACCAATGTTGGGATATAAATTGCAACTGTTTTCTATGTATTAAACTGCAGGCCTATATTTGTTGATAGAACAGGATGTGACTGTACCAAACATCACAAAAACAATAGAAAAATGAGGATGTTGTTTAAGCCAGTCAGTCCGAGAAAAGGCTAAAAACATGTAAGTAATACAAAAATTGAGCAGTTCAAATCATATTATTAAGATATTACTGGTGGATTACTGGACATCACCCAATAAAGTGACATTATAATTATTGTTTGGCCATTTACACCACAACTGCTGAGCGACTTGCTCACTGCCTGTCTGAAATGAAGGTGATGTCCGATGTGATGGTCTTATACAAACACAGAGCTCGACAGTAACAGTTACCTGGTTGCTATTGGCAACCAATTATTTACGTATGTGCAAATTGATTCAGCTGACAAAGAATCAGATGAACCTGAACAAAAAACAACATTTGTGAAATCGTTGGGAGGTGAACTATCCCGGCATCTTTGAGCTGGACGGACGTATACATACATATGACATGTACACGCGTCACATTATTATTATTAAGCTGACGTATAACTGCATAGTAATCACTCAAAATATAAGGTGACTAAAAACGGCAGCCATATTTTCAGTTTCGGCAACCAAACACTGATGCCTGGTTGCTACTTTTAAAAGTTGAGTCGAACCCTGAAACAGCAAAAAGACACAGCACACTCCTTGTTTTTTTGATCATCAAAAACAACAAAGAGGTGTTTCTTCTTCCAACAAATCATCTCTGTCTAAAAAGTGCAAACACCAGAGTGCAGAGAAAGAATCTCTTAACCAGATAACAGCCAAGATGTCTTAATCTGAAATCAACAGTTCAAACATATATAAGTGTACAGAAATACAACATATAACTTAAATTCACATATTTTCTGTGCATTTAAGACTTCTTTTTACAGGAAAAACCAGATTATCAGAACCACAAAGACAAAGCCTAAACTAGGCTGTGGTTGAATCATTCATTCTACAGCACCATTTCTCCTGGCAGCGATGAAAGGGACATTTATTAAGTATAAATGAAGCTGTCACAGATTATTACTTAAAGATAAGTGACATGCTGAACATTGGGGTAACCATTCAGGCTGCATCACCTTCTATGTCGAAGACGACAAAGCATTCAGCCGGGGGCTGCTTGTTCTCTCCTTTAAAAAAAACATTTTCAAGTCACATGCAACAACACATCTATTGACACTGTTATTGTTACTGAGGCAAAAGAAAAAAACGAGTAGCTCAATGTTGGATACCATCAACTGTTGACCACCTGAATTAGTAAATGAGGACCTGAGGAAGTCATGTGAAGTAATGCTCTGAAACAGTGTCAAAATGTAAAGGGGGGCTGATTCACTGGTGGAACTGCTCACTGAATATATAACTGAGTGACTCACACACACATTCCCAACCCGTATGTGCTCTTCCAGTATTTCCTATAAGTACCCCTGAACCATTGGTGCTGCTTACCCCACCACGGTGCCTCACAGCCAATCGCACGCAGCAGGGAGTCCTGCTCACCTGGATCCCGCCTGCCAATCATACAGCACCTATCCAGCATTACGTCATGGAGTTTCGCCTCGGGGAGCGATGGGAGGTCTTGGACGACAGCATTCCTGCTGGGGAGACGGACTTGCTCGCCCGAGACCTGATCCAGGTAAAAGACAGGACCCGAACTGTAGACCTCACACACAGTGTTATAGAAAACCTGCATCTGACCAGTTCCACGCTAAAGAAGTGTCTGGGACGTAGTGGAGGGTTAAATATGCCATTCAAATTTGCACATATACATATATATATATGTATATGGCATATAGGGGGATGTTTTCATAGTGTTTGATACAATCAGACGTCTTTTTGCAACTGGAGGAGTCGCCCCCTGTTGGCCATTAGAAAGAATGCAGCTTTAAGACACCAGCTTTAAGAATCCAGTTCCCCATCACCCACCAGAGGCTTCCACAGCCTAGCCCCCTTCTACCTTTTTCTGCTCCGTTTCACAGCGCAGAAAAAAACTTTATTTAATAGCTTACCTGAACAAATCCCAACACTGAGGCTGCTATGTTCAGACTTGAGGCAAAGATTTGTTTTTTGAAATACTGCTCTAGATTACCCAGATCAGATTCTGCCACATCCACCTTGGTTGTCATAGTAACAATGCAGGTGTGCACACTTTCTGACCACCTCTGTGGGTTTTAATTTGTGCCATTTCTGGTTATTATATGTTATGTCGAACGTCCAGAATGCACACGTGTGCTTTTACCTCTGCAGGTCTGCCACTAGCTTCTACTGAGCGAGAAGACAGACTAGCAACCGAAACGTGAAGTTTCGATACAATGTAATAGTCCGTATGAAGAGGACGGTGAATTTTACTGACACAATACTTATTTTTAAGCATTCCACATCTTCGCGCGTGTCGGCTAATTCTCCTGCCGTGACACGTTTGAGCTTCTTTTCTTCAATCTAACTGCCGCTGTCAGCTCCATGCAGATCCTTCCACTGCACAGCAAACACCCACACACACCTCTCTCCAGCTCTCTCACCACACACACACACACACACACAATGCACCTCGCTTGCATAACTCTTTTTGCTGCACATTTTTTACTGTGAGGTGAATTGACCAGGGAGGGGACTGCTCTGTTTGGTAGGACCCGCTTCCCCACATCCTCAATCTTCTTCCTGACTGTGCAGGAAACAGTTGAGCTGACAGCTTAGTCCACGGCATGTTTATCCGTTGGTTTGTGGGCGTTACGTCAACAGTACAGCAAAGCAGGTGTTGCACCCCTGCTGAGGTGTCTTTGAGCAAGAACTGAATCTCTGCCAGCTCCACAGCTGACCCTGCTCTGTGGAGAGCACAGGCAGCCACCGAGGAAATGAAATGGAGGTTTAATGTCTTTTCATCATGACTGAGTCACAGGTGATTTATCCATCTTCAGCCACGTTATCGATCCATTATGATATCCACGTTATTGAGATTCTTAGTACTTGCTCCTCCTTATGAATATTGGTCTGATCACAGCACAACCTCATGATATGATATTGATTTTAACATGAAGCTTCTGTTTATTACGGTTTACATCATTCTGCTGTCTGAATAAAATCAGTAAACTTTATCATCCAAACTTCTCTTAATTTGGCATTAACATATTTTTTCTTTTTGAAAACATTTTTTATGACGCCCACGTCTATAATGCATTATAAACATAATGTGTTATAAGCACTCATAGATAGCACATTATAAAGCATTATTTAAGAAGTTATAAGTATCATGATACTTCATTATTGCTCACTGACATCTTAGATGTTCTTTTTTTCCCTTAGAGCAAACAATGATGACTGAGAGTAACCTATAATCACATTATAATGGATTATAACAGTGATTATAATGCACCGTAAAAATTATATTATGTTTCACAACTATGGGAATAACACAAGCCTTGCAAAGTAAAAATGTCGATCCAAGATCACCCTGACGACATCATTATGACATCAGGAGTGTGATTTTGTTTTGCTTAAGAAGTCATAAGAGTTTGTAAAATTAGCGGAGTGCCCCTTTAATAAAAAAAAAAAAAAATCTTAATCTGAATGCATGACTTCTAGTTTCCATTGTGCTATTTATAAACTGCAGGAACAATGATGGGTTTTGGAATCTGTTGAACACTGAAAGGTAACTATTCATATCCACAAAGGCTCTGTGACTCAGCTGGCTGGTCTCTGGAGACACAAACAGAATCATGCAGCCCGACAGACACCAGACACGAGTTTGACCTTCTGAACGTAGCTCTCTCTCTCTGCTCTCCTGCTCCTAGGAGGCGTGGTACGAGTTCCGCGTCATGGCCGTCATGGACAACACCATGAGCGAGCCCAGCAACATAGTAGGAGTGTCCAGCACAGGTGAGCCCACACAGTGCACACACTTGACTCTCAGCCCCGAGAAGTTCAGAGGAGCTTTTCAGTGCTCAAACGGGACTCAAACCAACAACCTCTGGCGGCAAGCTGCATCTGTAACCTGGGGTGATCTTAATGAGTTGAGCCGAGGAGAGGCTGCAGATGTATTGCACACGCAGCAGCTCCCAACTTTACATTTTGCCCACTCAGCACTATTAAATGTAAGCTCTCTTTACATGCACACTTCTTTTGTACCTTCCTGAAAAGTATGACATCATCGCTCTGCCTGTCTCCCATGGATTGAATCAGGCGGCTTTGTGCTGAAAAGAAAAGATTCATCAAAGCCAGACTTTTCTTGGTCGCAACGCTTAAAGTCTGAAACGAAACCCGTCAAAATGTGATGTCACTCCCCTGCAGAGGTCACTGGGTACACATCATTTGGGAAGAGCAGCTGTTGGTAGCGTTTATAGACTGGATATGCTCACGGATCTCTGGATGCACTCTGCTGCCCCCTACTGGTACATGTGTAGAGCTACGCTCAGTGGTGATCAAAGGCTTAAAAGTAGTAATTTGACTGCTTTTTTTCCTGTGCATATCGTCAATCAGCATCATACTCCATACATGATGTGGATGCACCCTCTCTTACTGAAGGTGAAAGGTGTTCTCTAGCTGATCAGTAGTTATTTCATGAACGGTGCAACACTTTGCATTTTGCTGTATCATGCTTCACTGCAGCACATGAACCACTAAAACAAAGCTTGACACATAATCCCCGCTGGTCGTCACTGAGCGATTCATTAGCATGTCGGCCACTAAAACAGCTCCAGCATTAATAAGTGAGGAGTTGGTTGCTCTACAGCGGGACTTAAAGTTGCTCTGGCTGGGTTTTCATTACCGTAAGAATATTGATAGTGCACAACTCTGCCGTGTTGAACTGAGAAGAAAGACAGCTCTAGAATGTAAGGCTGCAGGATTATTGCCAAAATGATAAATGCAATTATTTCTTATCAATATTGAGATCTCGATTATTCATTGATTTTAGGGCACAAAACATTTTTATTGCACTTCCACATTTTAGCTAAACTGTCATGTACACTTTCATGTTGCGCTGCTGGCTGTTGGTTTAGGAAGCGCTCGATTTGATATGCAGCGAAGATTTCTAGAAGCGGAGCACGCATTTTGAACGGCAATATCGCAGTTGATCGTGTTCTGTTAATTTGGGAAAGCCAAAATCGTCATCTGATTAATATTCAATAAATAAGCATCCCTGTTATAAATATGCTACAGCTTGTTTGGGAAATCTTAAGCTGCAGCACTTTGAATAAATTGATCTAAATGGTTCTACACACTGAGATGGTTTATGTCATAAATATTCAAGAACATCTCTCAGTGACACCATGATCACTTTAAGTTTGAATCATAATTCAAAGTTCATGTCCAGGTTGACAAGCTATTACTCAGTGAAGGAAACCAATGTAAGAGACTTACGTCTGTAAGCATCCCATCCACTGTCTCCTTTCCCACAGACAGTATGTGGATAATAATAGCCAGGTATCAGCTTCTCTGAATTATTAGGATTATTATGGCTATGGTTGATTTATGATATTCTGTACATTCATTACATCCTATTTCCCTTCAGTTTACGTTGACGCAGCATTAAAACAAACCAGTAATAATAGCTTTATTCTGTTCATTATTATTAACAAGTGCAAGCCAGCCTTCATGTTCATTTGTCATGTATGGCCGTGTCATAACAAATAAATAAAAGCAACAGCAGAGTGTGAGAACGTTGTGTTACAGCTGAAATCATTCATTCAACATTTCAGTGAAGTAAATGTACATTTAAAATCAAAACATTATGTGCCAAAACTACACCTGCTCATTATTATACAGAATGGCCCATTTGAGAATAAATAAATGAGATCATACTGTAGGTGATGCATTCATGTGTTCATCACTTTAGTTGCTTTACACACTGCTGCGTAGCTTGTGACTTTCCCCCTCCAATCAATAAACTCTTAACCAATAATAGTACAACATAATGTATTCATTTATTATATATTGTATTCACTGATATGAATCTGCAAAGTAACTACAAATACAGGACTTGATTAAATGTACTTAGTTACTTGCCAGCACTGTTGAGAATGGACCTTTCAGTGAAGTAAGAGACATCTTGTGTCCAGCAGTGAAACGTGTTAGAATATTCATAGATTCTGGATTTTTTTCCTGCAGAATAGTAGAATTTAAAGCATTTAAGAATTTTAAACTTGGTAATTAATGTGATCTGACACAAAGCATTATTCCAAGCAGAACACAATCCAAAGATAATGCAGTGCACATGTAGCCTCCACAGCTTTATACACTGCAAGGGGAAAACAGTTTACATTCTGCTTAGTCATCATGGCATGTAACACATTACAATATGCAGTAAAGGTCAGCTCCTGCATACTTCAATCTCATTGGAAACGGCTTTTCCTTTCACTTCAAAGGCTCCTCTGCAGGAACTGAAAAAGTATTTTGCACGAGGTGTCTCTTTCCTTTACCCCCCCCCCCCCCCCAAATTAAAGTCAGAAAATTCTGATTCAGTTTCTCATATAATTAAATAGCTGCTTAATCAGAGCACAGTGTGTTCTCGCAAAGGACAGCGTGCTCTTATTTCTGCGTGGTAATCTCACCGTAAATATCAGCCCCGCTTTCAGAGCCTGGATATGAATGTTGACTTTAGCATTAATCTTGAGCAGTGCCATATCAGAAGTCTAGTGAGTTAACTTAAAGTTTATCATTTGTTTCTTTTACTCTCTTTGCTCGCTCCTCCATTCAACTGTCCATTTCCCTTCTACCTCCAGGTAGACCACGTCTCTGCCCACACACCATGTCCCAACTGCAAACTGTCACGTCCTTTATTTTGACATCCTTTTCATTTTGATGCTACACTGTGACTTCCACCAGCTCAGCGTCCCTGACTCTTCCCTCTTCCCTCCTCACCCCACAGACTTCTTCCCTCCTCCGGAGATGGTGGAGGAACGTGGACTGGCGCGGCCTGTGGTGGCTGGCATCGTGGCCACCATCTGTTTCCTGGCAGCAGCTGTCCTGTTCAGTACGATGGCGGCCTGCTTCGTCAACAAGCAGCGCAGGAGGAAGCTTAAGAGGAAAAGAGGTGAGGGAGGAAGTCACGGTCATTAATAGCTGTCTCCAATATCACTAAGTCAATGTTTTGGGAACTTATAAAATATGGCACGAGATGAGAAGATTATTTCATATTGTACAGAATACATTAAAGGAACAGTGTGTAGAATTCAGGAGGATCTATTGGCAGAAATGCAATATATATTCAGTGTGGCTTTGTAGCACAAAGGCAGTAAAACTGCCTGTGCCAAAGCACACTGACTGTAATCCTGCGGGCTTAATAATAATAACTAGAAAATTCCTAAAGAAATTTTGACAGTGTGGCTTCTACTGCCCGAAGAAATCGCAATATATATACACGCCAATGTTACCGGTAGTGTCGTTCAGGTTCAATTGAGATAGCGCTACTCTCTTTTCTGCATTTTAGATTCATACTCTTGGATTGAATCTTGTATTTGTGGGGCTTTTATTTTGAAAGGGTGGGACTGGGTGGGTGAGAGAGGGGGAGAGGAGACAGAATCATAATGTTTGACACTAAAATGAGAGGCTTCATCACAAGCATTCCAGTTAGAATTCATTCTGTGGGGCTTTTAATTTGAAATGGGGGGAGGGGGGGGGTGAGAGGGGAAAAGTCCTCTAAAAATATCTAAGACCTAAATGACTGTATGATAGAGAGCGACAGAGAGGGAGAGAGAGAGACAGACAGAAAAATAGACAGAGAGGAGAGAGAGACAGAGTGAGTGAGACAGGCAGACAGACCGTTAGATGGACTGAGTGGGTGGGAGAGAGAGACAGGCAGACAGACCGTTAGATGGACTGAGTGGGTGGGAGAGAGAGACAGGCAGACAGACCGTTAGATGGACTGAGTGAGTGAGTGAGACAGGCAGACAGACCGTTAGATGGACTGAGTGAGTGAGTGAGTGAGTGAGTGAGACAGGCAGACAGGAGTCCTCTAAAAGTCTCCAAGACCTGAATGACTGTATGAGAGAGAGACACACACAGAGAGAGAGAGACAGACAGAGAGATAGAGGGAGAGGAGTGTGTGTGTGTGTGTGTGTGTGTCTCAGTGCCTCTGTGTGTTTATCAACATCACTAATGAGCTCATATAAACACCTGTGTGCTTGGGTGCATGTTGGTGATTGGAGCACCTGTGTGTTAGAGGCTAATTAAGAGAGAGAGTAACGAGTGATTTTCAACAAAACTACCTGTCAAACATATGCCCTTCATACCAAAACCATGAGACTAATCAATAAAATATGGATACCGTGAGAGAGATAAGACTCTGGCAAACGCGGAGATGTGTTTTTTATGTTTGTGGTCAAAAATGTGAGCTCCAGCGCAATATGCAAAACTGGTACCGTCTGCTTTCTTTGAGAAATGAGTGGTCAGATTTAACATGGAGTCTAATGGAGCAGTTGGTTGGAGTTCATGTCGCTCTGCGGCTCTTTGAGCCAAATGTGTAAGTCCGTTGGATTCCACAGACATCTGTGTGCGACAGCACAACATTTGCAAGCTTTTTGGCCAAAAATGGTGTATAAAGAGTAAACATTGTGGGAGCTGGAGCAATTTGTTTGGAAAAATCACAGAATATTTTCCTGCTCTGCTCCACTCTGACGGTTATGCTCTCACTCTAGCTCTTAACGAGCCGTGCAATACACACCCATTATAAAATCTGAAACAGACCCAAAATTTTCCTGAAACTTAATCTGTGACTTCATGAAAACTGTGCTAGCTATCAAAATGTCCCTTTGGCTCAATAAAGTGCAGCGTTTTGTCTACGTTTTAAACTTTGAATCATGTTTCTACGTTAATGTACGGCTAGTCAATATGGGCCCAAAGTTAAGTGTTTTTTTAGCTCTCTTCACGCCGCAACCCCATTCAAGTGAATGGAGAAATTTTGCTCCGTTTTTCGGGGTTTTCCGGGATTTTCGGGAAAACGAAATCTCTCCGAAAAATAGTTTCCGCGCTATTCCCGATCAGGCCGCATGTTTTGATGTATTGTTCACGCCGCTGTTGGCAAAATTGCCCCATTCACTTGAATCTGGCGTGAAGAGAGCTAAAAAAAACACTTAACTTTGGGCCCATATTGACTAGCCGTACCTTAACATAGAAACATGATTTAAAGTTTAAAACGTAGACAAAACCCTGCACTTTATTGAGCCAAAGGGACATTTTGATAGCTAGCACAGTTTTCATGAAGTCACAGATTAAGTTTCAGAAAAATTTTGGGTCTGTTTCAGATTTTATAATGGGTGTGTATTGCACGGCTCGTTAAGAGCTAGAGTGAGAGCATAACCGTCAGAGTGGAGCAGAGCAGGAAAATATTCTGTGATTTTTCCAAACAAATTGCTCCAGCTCCCACAATTTTTACTCTTAATACACCATTTTGGCCAAAAAGCTTGGAAATGTTGTGCTGGTCGCAGTAAAGTGTCTATGGAATCCAACGGACTTACACATTTGGCTCAAAGAGCCGCAGAGCGACATGAACTCCAACCGACTGCTCCATTAGACTCCATGTTAAATCTGACCACTCATTTCTCAAAGAAAGCAGACGGTACCAGTTCTGTCTATTGCTCTGGAGCTCACATTTTCAACACCACAAACATAAAAAACACATCAGCGCGTTTGCCAGAGTCTTATCTCTCTCACGGTATCCATATTTTGGCACTCAGACTCCAGGTGCGTCCTCGCCATGGCAACCAGTTACACACACGCACGCAGGCTCTCGCTCTCTCTCTCTCTCTCTCTCTCTCTCTCTCTCTCTCTCTCTCTC